ATATCGATCGATAAGCTTTATCCATAACATGCAATGAAAATGATATATAGTTACCATTAATAATATTTTAAATTCCGGCTAAAAAGTATTAAGACAATAACATTTTTGAAAGATAAAACATAATTTTTGTCATTGTTTTTAACTTCTATTAAAATATTAAAACTTGTAAATTTTACTGATGCATTCTTAAGCAAAGTTAAAAATTAACTTCCTGTTTCTTGTAAATAATATTAGCGCGGTTTTAAACTGCATAACTTCTGAAATATATTCCAAATATATGAAAGTAAAGCCTAAGATCATAGAAACTGAGAAAAGTTATAAAAATAAATGAGAATAGATTATAAAAAATGCTTTTAGCAATGATAATACCAATTATGCTTTAACTTTTATAAGAAAAAAAAAAACAAAATATATAAGTTTAGTTACACAAGTTTACACGAATATCACACGCAACGATCGAGATAAATCGTTGAAAGACATGAGATGGGAAGTATCTTTGAATGAAATTTTCAACGTATCGTAATATTTTTAAAGAACAATCAACACCTATTACAACTGGTGACCACTACACTGTAGCCAAGCACAGATCACTGATGACACTCTACGTACGGACAGGGTGTAAGTGGTCGCAGCACCCAAGGCACACCGCAGTACTCTTGGCCGATGATGGGGGCTAGCCACAAATACCTGCTGTAGATCGAGGAGCTCGACTTGACTGGTCTCCCTGCTGCGTCGCCCTTACAACAGTTGCTGCCCATGGCGGGAGCGCATCTCGTTTCGAATCGAGTTCACGATAGCCAGGCGCGGACTGCGCGAACTACGAGATATTTTTGTAGAAGCGACGACGCTAGCGCCGTAATTTGTTTACCGTTTCACTCTTTGAGATTTCAGGGAAATCGGGAACGTAGTTTCAGACTCAAAAGCGTGGTGTAGTGTTTTATGCCCACAAACTTTACAAAAATCTAACTTAATTTAAAATTTAAAACACTACACTTTATTTCTTAAAAAGGCATATGAAATAAATATCTAATAATATTATCTAGAATGTGATTTATGCACAATGTATATAATATACCTAATTGCGCATGACATGCTTTACATTATAAAGTATAAACGTATTATTTTACTTTTCAGTATGAGATAAACTCATAAAAGCAGGCGTTTTCAGTTGATTGGCAACATTCGTACAAATCCTGGAACAATTAATTCTATTTTTTCGTCAGGCGGATAGGATAGGATATACTGACTGCATCCAGATAAAAGACCTTTTACCACGAGAAACACCAAATTCCCCCGAGAAAATTCGATTTAATTTGAGCGAAACCATGGGGTGGAAAGTAAGTAAAACATAAAAATCTAGTGATTTGCGTAGGCACAGGCAGAACAGACCGAGGGGTGCATATTCATAAGGCTGACTATGAATACGCATACCATTATAAATCTTTCACAGCATGCAAGCTGTATACGTGCTGTATTGAAGTTCGTTTTTAAACTAAAAGGTGTATTTTCTGGTCGTTTAAAGGCTGCATAAGTGCTTATACAGTTTTAATAAGTAAAAAATTGGCACAAATTATACAGACTTTACGTTAGTAGCGCTATACAGTAGCTGTGCAAACATAAAATAGCCTGTATAACAGCTGCATTACAGCTGTTATTTGTTGTGCTTTTAAAGATAAGCGTTCTAAATTGGGTTTTGAACGGAATTACAAATGGATATGAAATAAAAAGAACTTTGATACCGACGTTTAATGGCAGATTAAAAAAAAACATATTATATATTAATATTATACTCGAATTGGAGTTGAGTTTTCACAGTGATAGTCGGTGAATTAATAGTGCAAAATTAAATTTACGGTCAACTTGTATATCTTGACTATCAAAAAATTGCCGCACCAGCAAAATAACCAAATAATATAAAGACAAATTAATAAATACGGTAACTAAGTATAGGTTGTGAAAGGTTATAATAGAAAAATATATAAAGTAATTGGTATGGAGACACATTGGAGGACAGTGATCATTAGTCAATCTGAAAATAATGGTATAGGTTAAAAATAATGTCTAATATTCCTTAAATTATATTTTAAATTTTGTTTATATGGGTCCTAAAATGGCGGCAATTTGCTAAACATCCTAAACGGTATTATAAAGGTCTTATAGTCTTAGTAGCTGTACTATGTATGTTATGGAGTCTATCATACAGCCATTGGTTTTATATCTAATAGAATATTTTTATTACTTACTCTGTATAGCAGTTTTTTCAACATAACATATAAATTATCTTTAGCGATAGATTCAATAGATGAAAAACCTTGCCTTGGGAACAGTGTTGGATAACATTTATTTAGATTTAACATGATCTTCTAACTAACAAAAAGCTTTATGTTTTCTTTTTTTAACTTATTGGTAACAAATTAAAAAATCGTTAGGACATCTAAGTCACTGTTTTTATTTTTATTTAAGGAGGCTTATTTACGATTTAAAATAAATAACATACTCAAATGTATTTTTTCTCAAGCTCGTAAAATTTATTCATTCATTAACTACACTTAATCAAAAAAAAGTTAGTTACAGCCTATATACGTCCCACAGCTGGGCACAGGCTTCCCCTCATTTCTGAGAGGGTTATTAGGGCTAGGAAGTGTCCGCCGAGCTGCCCCAATGCGTGTTGGCGAACTTCACATGTCTTCGATTTTTTTTTTCGTATTTCTCAGATATGCAGGTTTTCTCACAATGTTTTTCTTCACCGCCGAGCACGTGGTAAATCAGCACTTAAAATTGCAATTAATAATTTCATTGGTGCCGGCGGGGATCGAACCCGATTTTCTAGCATACTCTGAAATTTATAGCGAGCGCTAACCATCTGAGCTACCACGGCTCACCAAATCAAAGTTCACTGCAAATGCCTCATAGATGGCGTCGCCTCTTATGAAATACGTCACAAATGTCACGCTTGGCAGACGGGTTGGCAACGGCAGTTTTTTAATTTATTTTGTAGTTGTTATTAGGAAGATGCCGCTGCTCGATTCCTGGTTTGGTTCCCTCTATCACTGCCTACGACATCCAAGGGACGATATCGTTTAGTGGATATTTTTACACCACCACTACTCGGTCAAGTTCATTAAATATTATACATTTATAGGCAGACAAAAAGAGACCAAGTTTAAATGTAAATAAAAATAAATTTTATGGTACGCGAGCAACCCGTGTTTTAACCAGGCAAGCACCAATGACATTATTAATTGCAAGTTAAACGTGCTGATCTGCCATGAATTCAAGAAGGAAAACATCGTGTGAAATCGCACGTGTCAGAAATTAAAAATATTTTAAAGATATGTGCAGTCAACCAACATATATTGGGCAGCGCGGCACATTTCCTAGACCTAAACCCCTCTCATAAATTAGCGGAGGTGTTAGCCCATATGTGTGATGTATATAGTCTACAACTTTACTTTTAACTTTAGAGAATAATAAAAATATCGGTTGTCAAACTTGAAAATCTTAGGCTTACCATATCTTTCTCAATATTTCCATATTATTAACTAAATATAAAATTATGATTAACTTGTCTTTAATTCCAGGTTATCAAGACCAATGGAATGAATAAAGATATATTTTATCAATTGTGCCAAAAAAAACGTACACTACACAAGTAAAATTTTATTCAATGATCCTATTCATTGTATCTGTAGTAAATACCAAAGCGAAGAAAAACAAATTATAAATAAAAAATATCTAGGCCATAGTGATCAGCGGTTTAATAAAACAAAACCAATGGAATCAAATAATTTAAAAAAAAAACCGTATGACGAATGTGCAATTTAAACATTGTAGTACTGCGTACTTACGTATTAGTAATCAATTTATGTTTTAAGAAATCAAAAAGTATACCTAATAAACAAGTGGTTTACGTTAGGACAAATCACAGGAATATTCAGTAAAAAATATCACTTGAAAAGACTTTGATAGTTAGGTGTCGTGTTTCACTGTGTTTTGGAACAATGTTGCCAGTTTTTGTTTTTGGTTGGGTACCTCAAACTTATTTTAGGTAAGAGGAAAGTAGAATATAATCACTAAAGAGAGATGCCATTACGTATAATATTTTTAAAATGAGAGAGTTTACATCTTCATCATCATTTAAATTACATTTCTATTACAATTTTACTCATGTCACAACAGTTGCCAAATGTTTTTTGCATAATCATAACTAGACATATTATAGTCTCTAGATGAAAATCTCCAGATTAGGGATTTTGAGGTTAAAACGAATAGTAAATATTGCATCCCATCTTCCGAAATAATTTTTTAAATATTTGTATTAAACCAAATTATTATCTAACCATAAGTACCCAGTTTTCGGTTATTAAATCGACCGATTTCGGAAAAAAGTTGAAGCAACAGAGTTCCTTAAAATTAAATTAAATCGTTTTAAGAAAATATGTCACAAACTTATTTTATCATAATCTTTAATGTAAATGTCACAAAAGCATAAAAACAATGTACACCATAATCAGCTATATTTTATAAAAATATTGCAATTTAGTTTAAATTCCTGAAATTTTATAAAACGGACTCATACTTAGTCGAACCTTATTTTTAATTAGGCAGCATATATTTCAGTCACAGATTATCATCCAGAAATTACTTCAGTCACAAGACTTTACCTTTGCTTTACAAACAGAGTGTCAAATGTCTGTGGTGACCTGTTTCCTGGTCTGTATTTATACACTTGGACATATGAAAAATAAACAACGCTTGCCGGCGCGACGCAAGCGCACTGAAGATGAATGCTTCAATCACTATGCACTTAATAGACTACACATTAAGTTTTAAAGTCATTTATTTCAAAACATGCTGAATTATATTCAGGAAGTCATACATTTAAAATATTTAAAAAGTCTGACAAATCAAGCAGATGTTACCTAATTACAGTACAGATACGGAAAATTAGGTTAAAAATTTACTACAAGAGGGAAAATTAAAATACAAATAGAACGTACCATTCGAAGTGGAAGGGTGGTGTGCCATTGGGCAACGGAAGTATAAGGTCGGCGTCACTGCCGGGGGCTACCCTGACTGTCTGGAGGCCGCTTACAGGGTACGATGGGGGCTCCATAGGGCTCCAGTCCTTTCGACCCGCGCGCGCCACACCGTGTGCGCGCGCCGACTCCCGCCCGCAGACTTTCTATAAATAATACGAAAAAATGTAACACGCGCGGAGCGAATTTCAAACGATGCGAATATTTTGCTAATATAATCACTGTTTTTTACTTGAACAACTATTTGTATAAAACCTAGCAAATCTTATAATGTTTAAACTTCATTACTATACCTTTTACTAGCGACCTACCCTTAGTCGTGCTTGCCCATTTCGTATTGATAGACGACTTTGTGAAACATTTGCGTCAGCGAATAATTCTTGTTAGTGAGTTCAGTCAGTTGGCCAAGTCCAGTCCCGGTTGCTTCTAACGCGAGGCGTCTAGCAAAACAATATTTATATACATATAACAGTCATATTGTCATCTTACGTAATGTAGAGTCAGATAAAAACATCAGCATCAAACGCAGACTTTAATGTAATCCAGGAGCCCCCTACCAATTCACCATTTATTTTCATTATGTTACTGCTAAGGGCTAGCTCCCTATTCATGAATTACGTAAGGATAATTTTGGCGATTTTTGACCCCCCTACCTCCATGTAAGGTAATATATATATATTCGATTCGATATTATTTCTCGAACCTTCATAATACGTGAGATTCTATCTCATTTTCGAAATAATATAATGTTGTTTGAAAAGGATCAGTTACAGTTTGACGTAAATAAAAGATTTTTATTTTTTGATCAACATGGAAACTACGCGGGATTTTATTTTACGGTTATAAAATAATGATATTTTGTGTAAAATATTATGCTCTCGTGACCGGTATTGGTATTATATAAGGTATTGTATAATTATTATTGAATAAATTTAATTTAATTATTCAACACTCTTGTTGCTTGAAAATAAATCAATATTTAAACTCCAAGTATTTAAAATATATGCGCGGGAAAATATTCTATAATTATTGTTCACATTCCCTTCGGAACCCTTACGTAGTTAATGAATGACCTCTTACCACTATGGGACCTAGAAAATTTTATTCTTGAAGTATGTATCAAGATTCAGAAAGTATACTAGCCCTCATTAACGTATCTATATTCATCCACTGCTCTTAAATATCGTGCTCGGAATGCATTATTCCTCATTACTGTTTTTTAGGAGGCATCTATTTGCAAAAAATTGCGCTGTAATATAAATTAAGTACACGGATGACCGAGCTTTGCTCGGTATTTTTAAGAGTCATTTATATAAATTACATGAATAATAGTTTTTGATCTTATTGACCTAATATATAAACTGAACTGGTTATTTGAATAAAAAATCATGAGTGCAATTAGATTAATTAAAATTTTCGTGTATTTTTAAAAAATACTAAAAAAAGGGCGCGAAATAATAGATTTTCTCACAAAAGAAGGGAACTTGAAAAAAAAGGAAAGAAAGTCGGACTCAAGACGGGACGCGAACCACGGAACTCCGATATCACGCCCGAACAACATCCCATCTGAGCTATTACGATCTTTAGTAACCTGTCAAAATTTTCCTTCTTATATTGTAGCAGTTTTTTTTATTGCCCGAAAACACGGACAAAGGCACATTTTCTAAAAATAAACTATCTGGACACTAAATTTTATGAAAATCGTTGAAGCCATTTCCGAGATTCCGATTATATATATATATTTCATATATATAATAGGATTTTTTTATACTTACTTAAATAAATAAATACGTCTGTCTGTAATATGAAAATAACTCCCTTTATTCAACTGGAAGGGCTTTCGCATGCCATCAGGACTTAAATAACTAAACATAGTATTCTATGGCTATAATTTATCCTAAAACCTTGGAAATTATTTGATAAATCTAAAAAATTATTATATAAATAGTCTTTAACGATTACTTAAATATAGACACGCCACATCAATAGATCCTACCCGGAAAAACCGACGATAGTTGCTATCGCTAGTTTGAAATAAAGGACTTAATCTTTTAATTTCTTTCCAATACGGTTTCCGTCCTGGCCATAGTACGACGACTGCACTTTTACAAATCACTGATGATATTCGGTATGATATGGAGAAACAAAAGCTTACCATTCTGATGTTGCTTGATTTTAGTAACGCATTTAATACTGTAGATTTTGATATCTTGTTAGGCATCCTGCGCTCTTCGACATATCTCCAACTGTAGTTGATTGGCTCGAAGTTACTTGTTTGGTTGTCGACAGCGCATTCATGTGCAAGGGGTTTTTTCCACCTGGAGTACTACAGCTGCTGGTGTACCACAAGGTGGCGTGTTGTCTCCTCTCCTGTTTGCAATCTTCATTAACTTTATAAGTCATAATGTGTTCCCTTCCTACCACTTGTATGCTGATGATCTCCAAATCTATACTCAGTCCTCTCTTGAAGATCTGTCTAAAGCGGTTGACACTATTAACGCTGATCTGACTTGTATTTTAAACTGGAGTAAATGTTATGGTTTAACGATTAATCTAAAGAAAACTCAGGTCATTACCATCGGTAGTTCTAGATTAATTGGAAAAATGACTGGTCTTTCCTACCTCCTATTATACTAGACTGCAGTCTAATCCCTTACAGTAACAAGGTTAAAAACCTGGGGTTGTATCTCGACTCCTATACGTCATGGACCTCACACGTTAATGAGGTTAGTATAATAATGCTTGCTTTACGTTGATTACGTAATTCTCTTTCCACAGCCATTAAAGTTACGCTCGCCTAGTCTCTACTTCTGCCTATCCTTGACTATGCTGATATTTTCTTTTTTGTTTTTGTAGGAAAAGGGTGACAAGCGAGTACACAGTCCACCTGATGGTAAGTGGTTGCTGTAGCCCATAGACATCTACATCCATCCTCGTTTGCGAATCAAAATGAAGATGCGTTGTCAGCCTCGAAGACTAAGATGAAATGCCTCTTTTCCAGTAAAAAGGTTCTCCGGTTCTCTACACTCACCATACGAAACACAGCAGCATTAAGCTGCTATTTGACGCTGGTATTCTGTGAGAGCGTGGTCGTTTCCCAGTCAAGCCGACCCATTCGTGCTACAACTATACAATTAATATAGCTGCAGCATGGCTCTACCAATTGTCTTGACATTACTAAGAAGCAGCTTAATAAGCTTGAACGCATTCAAAATGTATGTATTAGATTTATATTTGGTATTCGCAAATATGATTATATCTCTGAATTTCGCAAACAACTCAAATGGCTCCCGATCCGCCTTCGCAGGAATACTCACATTCTCTCCGCATTGTATAGCGTGCTATTTAATCCTTCCACTCCTTATTATTTAAAAGACCGTTTCCAGTATCTTTCCCTTACTTATAATCGGTTCCTTCGATCCTCTATTCTACTCTACTCCTTTTCACTTTTCCTCCTTTTTTTACGAAATCCTTTACCGTAACTACTGTGCGTTTGTGGAACTCTTTACCTCTCCACAAGTGTCGTGCTAAATCTCTTCACTCTTTTAAAAGTCTTGTTAAATAGCATTACTTAGAACGCTATTAAATAAATTACTTTTCCTTTCTCGTACTCTTTTCATTTAATTTATTATATGATGTTTTATAAATAATTTTCAATTATCTTTATTTGTATGTATGTTCATATTTTTATTATTATTTTGTACGCCCCCCTCTATTTTAACTAATGTTTGAATCAGTTCTCTACGCAAGGGTTGTCTGGAAGAAATCACTTTCAGAGTGATAAGACCGCCTGTTGTACATATGCTACTTTAGATTTAACTGTACTCGATGATTTGTATTTTGGTGTACAATAAAGAGTAAATAAATAAATAAGGACAATGAACAAACCAGGTTTTCTTATTGTTTAAATAAATAACAATGAAGAAACCAGGTTTTCTTATTGTTTAAATCCCGCACCTTTGCACACAATGGTATTGCAAATAGATGCCGGCTAAAAACAGTAATGAGGAATAATGCATTCCGAGCACGATATTTAAGAGCAGTGGATGAATTTACGAGTAGATGCGTTAATGAGGGCTAGTATACGTTCTGAATCTTGATACATACTTCAAGAATAAAATTTTCTACGTCCCATAGTGGTAAGAGGTCATTCATTAACTACGTAAGGGTCCCGAAGGGAATGTGAATAATAATTATAGAATATTTTCCCGCACATATATTTCAAATATTTGGAGTTTAAAAATTGATTTATTTTCAAGCAACAAGAGTGTTGAATAATTAAAATAAATTTATTCCATAATAATTTCGGTCGCGAGAGCATAATATTTTACACAAAATATCATTATTGGACTTAAACTACTTACCATCAGGTGGACTGTGTGCTCGCTTGTCACCCTTTTCCTACAAAAACAAAAAAGAAAATATCGGCATAGTCAAGGATAGGCAGAAGTAGAGACTAGGCGAGCGTAACTTTAGTGGCTGTGGGAAGAAAATTACGTAATCAACGTAAAGCAAGCATTATTATACTAACCTCATTAACGTGTGAGGTCCATGACATATAGGAGTCGAGATACAACCCCAGGTTTTTAACCTTGTTACTGTAAGGGATTAGAGTGCAGTCTAGTATAATAGGAGGTAGGAAAGACCAGTCAATTTTTCCAATTAATCTAGAACTACCGATGGCAATGACCTGAGTTGTCTTAAAATTAATCGTTAAACCATAACATTTACTCCAGTTTAAAATACAAGTCAGATCAGCGTTAATAGTGTCAACCGCTTTAGACAGATCTTCAAGAGAGGACTGAGTATAGATTTGGAGATCATCAGCATACAAGTGGTAGGAAGGGAACACATTATGACTTATAAAGTTAATGAAGATTGCAAACAGGAGAGGAGACAACACGCCACCTTGTGGTACACCAGCAGCTGTAGTACTCCAGGTGGAAAAAACCCCTTGCACATGAATGCGCTGTCGACAACCAAACAAGTAACTTCGAGCCAATCAACTACAGTTGGAGATATGTCGAAGAGCGCAGGATGCCTAACAAGATATCAAAATCTACAGTATTAAATGCGT